CCTCTGGTCTATGACTAAAGCTAGCTGAGCTTACCTATTGATGAGCAATGAGTCAAGAAATGGTCAGTTCACTTAACTTATGATTGTTATCTAATAATTATCTGTAGTGCTATAGGGATACATACTTTTATGGAAGATGAAGAACTACTTCTACCTCATCTGCAAATGATGTCTCTAACAGCCATGGCCTTTGTAGCATTCTTATTACTATCATTATTATTATATAATTTTAGTCAATTTTGCATTATAAAACATACTGTTTTGATCTGATAGCAAAATGCATTTAACAAGTAGAGGATGAATGAAGAAAAACTAAACAAATTAATGATAAAAACTGATTTGAAATGAGTTTTAGCTATGATTCCTTCTTCATACTTCTGCATGGTAGCCATGTTCTTGGGGTGTGTCTATCACGTGAAATTAACACGTGGATGCATCCGGTCATATGATCAGCTGCACTAATTACATTCCAGCATGCAACAAAAAAGCCTTGAGTGTCTTCAGACCCTTCCTCCAAAAGCGAAGGGGCGGGGCACAAGACTAATAAATATTATATAATATTTTATACAGTTTTAATGTTGATACCTTCAACTGGAAGGAACTCTCTCCTACTACATCTCATCATGGTCCTATGATGAAGGCCTACTCCAGCATGATAGCAATAAAAGTGAATGAAGAAGACTATCTTGTAGTAATTGGAGGGCAGGGACAATTTTCCAATAATACCCCACCACAACCTGGTGCTCAGTACAGTAATGTTGGTGATTATCAACATTGCAATGAAGTCCATATGTACAGATTAAAAACTGGTCAGTATAATATGATATTAGGTTTATAAATGTAAGTATTTTAAGTTTTGCAAAAAAATTTCAAAAAAAAAAAATAATTGTATAGCGGACTTTATTGATGGGTAAAAAATTTGATAAAAACAGTAAATTTCCCTGGTAGGCGAGTTTTAATTTGATAAATAAAAGAAATTTGTGCCTTCGCATACACATGGTACAATTTTTGACGTTATTTGACGTGTTATTTTAAATTGTCAACTCGTCAGGATAAAACCTTCATTAATAAATCCTGCTATATGGTACAACCATCTGTCCAATATTTATGATTAATTCACAGTGTGTGTGTGTTCATATTATTTTTAGGTGAATGGACTTCACCAACTGTCACTGGAGACAGACCACCTCCTATTAGAACCTTCACTTTAACATCAATAACTAATACCACTGCTATATTGTTTGGTGGTGATATTGGTAGATACAGTAATGATATATATGTACTTGAATTTACTGATACATCAGTGGTGAGTGTATTATTAGTATAATTACATTAATTATTAATTAATAATGTATTGTATGTGTGTATTATTATTCATAACAGAGTGTGTGGGTGTGGTTTATGATAATTAAATATTTTCATTATTTTAGAAATGTAAAGAGTTTTCTAATCCTGGAGTATCAGTACTATGGCCTAAGGGGAGAAGTGCTCATTCCAGTGTATTGATCAACTGTAGCTCAGGACCACACCTACTAGTGGTGGGTGGGAATGAAGAGGACTGTTGGTTGTTAAATATAAACAAAATGGAATGGAAAGAACTGGTAAGTATTATAATATAATTGTGATGAGCATGAGTGAGTCCTACTAGTACGAGACCACTGTGATCTGTCTGTCTGTACATGTACGTCACTCCTCAATGATAATCAATTTAATACAGTACAACTGGTCAGTATAGACATGTGCATATGATAAAGAAATGAAAGATTATGCTATGAGTAGTTTTTAAGAAAGAGCTCATGAAGCTTGCCTTTGTTGTCATTTTTGTGAGTGTGATTGACAATGGAGGAGAAAGGAGGAGGAGAAGAGAGAAATCATTTTTATTAACCAGATATATTATTTTATCATTATTTTTAATTATATAGACTAATATACCAGACAGTGTCACTGATAGATATGGGCATTCTCTCTCAGTTTGGAATGAGACACAGACCACTCACTGGATAATTGAGTTTGGAGGATGGAGAGATGGTTCAAAAATGAGTGATACAAGTTTTATTGAAATCAGTGAGTACATGTATACATTAGTAGATACAATGTGTATTGAATATGTAATAATAATAATATTACAATAAAGAATGAGTGAGGCCCTGGAGTGTAGCTTTGTGTGATTGTACACACCCACAAAATTAAATTTTACCATTTTTTGGATTTTGAAACAATGCCGGTATAGAAGTTTATTTGTGGTCAGGGTGACTGTTACCACCCATTATTTTTTGCGGTGGAAATTTTTTGCAAATCTAGCATTTCTAAAATTTTGTGGAATTGATTTTTGCGAATTGCTTGCAGACTGTACCACGTGGCAATGGAGAGCAGAAATTAGCGGTGAAAAACTTTTGCAAATGATCACAAACCACAAAATTTGCGAAAATATTTTACCACAAAAATAAACCGGTATACGGTATTACATTGAAGAATGAGTGAGGGGTGTGGCTTTATGTGTGATTGTACGCACCTACTAAAATTAAATTTACATTTTTGGATTCTGAAACACTAAGTATAGATAGTTTATTTGTGGGAGGGGCCACTTTTACCACACCCACTAGTAATTATTTTTTTTAAATTAATATTGTTGTTATTATTATTATTATTAGTATCTAGTACTGGTGATTTGGTAGTACAGTCAGTACTGGACATTAATGAATATCAGAAGAGAAGAATACAAGGTATTAACACATACATGTACATGTACATGTACCAAACACATGTTTCACTTATGTGAGGTACGCTCATGCTTGCCGGCCAATAAATAATTCTATTTCATGTATTAGCAGCTAATGAGACTCCTAACCATCTATTGTTTTGATAAAACCTTTTCACAATCATAACAGAATCCATTGTAGTAGAGCAATCATAAGTACATACACACAATCAGTAATGGTTAGGTAATACACTCACTAATGTAACACACACTAATCTAATAATGTAATAGACCTCTTTGTGTATACACAACACAGTTCCTGCTATGTTTATTAATTATACTATTTCATTATATTATATAGATGCTGTAGGGAAGTGGATGGAGGAAGGGAGTGTTGATCTAACTGTTACTCGTGTTAATATGCTTGGGGCTCCTGGAGCTGGTAAAACCTGTTCACAGCTCCTCCTACTAAATGAAGCTCCACCCACTAATAACACAAGTACACCAATTGCCTGCCCTGCCGTTAGGGCTACAAGAGTTGCCGTTTGCGATAAAACAATTTGGAATCGAGTGACTCGAGCCAATTTACTTGACCAATTAGCAGCGGATTTGGACGCAGTTTCACAGCAAGAGAAACCAAAAGAGCCTCTCCTGCCTGTAGTCTTCACTTTGCTAGATAATACTCAACCAGCAGCAGAAATACGACCAGATCCATCTCCTACTCCACAGA